GGGAAAGAGAAAAAGAAAAAGAGAAGGAAAGAGAGAGGGAGCGGGAACGTGAAAGAGAAGCAGAAAGAGCTGCGGTAGGTTTATTTGTAGCTAAGAGCTGTTTAAGGGAGTTGGCGTGGTAGGATCTGACCTGGATGGTGACTACAGAATGCAAATCCCCAGAAGCGCTTTAATGCGTGTGCAATCAGGTACTTGTGAATATGGGAGCCTTGTGTATTAAGTGAAAGCCAACCAGCTGTGAGCACCTCCTGCCCTGCCTGTGACTTTCTTCTCTTTTAAGGAAATGGAGAGTTTCTACTCCTGGTCTGTTTCTGATGTGTGGGAAGCCAGTGCAGCTGGGGATAACTAGGCCAAGTATTGACATTTACGTGCAGTAGAAAAGCACTCTGTGCAGGTATAGCGAATGCCTTGTGTACCTTGTACTACTGTGCAAGCACAAGAGTGCTGTCTGCTGGAAAAAGGGGATCTGAAGGCTTTTTAAATTTGAAGTAAACTTAATTAACATTTTTATGGGGAGGCCCAAACTCCAGTCTTGGTGTAAAGAGCCAGTACAACTAATCCATTTTTCTGTGGCCTGTCGGAAAGGAATGGTTACTTCTGGGCCCACAGAATTGGTAGGTTAGTAATACATTATTGGTGCTGAAAAAGAAGGTGCTAAAGTCTTCCTATTCCATGGTGCATTTCAGGATTACAGAAGTCGGGATATAGCATCTGTCCATTAAGGGATGTGTCACGTATGGGGACTTTGCTTTACTTTGGGGTTAGGTATCCTTGGCCAAATGCATAGGTAAACTGTGCTTGTTGCCCTCCCCAGAAGTGCTGTGCTGCCCTTGTACAGGAGGGAAGAGCAGGATGCAAAGTCCTGATGTGAAAGGAGTGGAATTTGTTGTGTTGTACATCGTGGAGATGAGTTTCCTTGGGTTTAGTAAGTTTTAGGATACAAATGAGTGTGGAGAGGAGAGGAAGAACACACTGCAACCAAGACTGGTAGCATGTAGTGCCACGTAGCAGCCAACTGTTGCCCATAGCTGTGACATGTACCAACTAGTTGCTGTTCTACTAACTGTAAAGCAGTTAGTGTACCTTGGAGGCTGCCACTACGAAGTAGTTATCTTCTGGCCTACAGGGTAGACAGAATCCAGTTCTTCCCCAAACCACACTAGAGCACACAACTACAGGAGTCATGAGGCTCAGCAGGCTGAACTTACCTCTTCTTAGAGCCTGAAGCACGAGAAGGGAAGTGCGTGCCTGCTGTCTTTTTAAGCCAAGTGTGTTGAACTAAAATTCTCTTCCCCCATTCTGTGCAGCAGAAGGTATCCAGCTCCTCCCATGAAGGCCGTCTTGGAGAGTCTCAGCTCAGCGGGCCAGCACATATGAGACCTTCATTTGAACCTCCACCAACGACCATTGCTGCTGTACCACCTTACATTGGTCCAGATACACCTGCTTTACGAACACTAAGTGAATATGCCCGTCCTCATGTCATGTCGCCAACAAACCGTAATCATCCCTTCTTTGTGCCCCTAAACCCCACTGATCCACTTCTGGCCTACCACATGCCTGGCCTCTACAATGTGGATCCCACCATTCGGGAACGAGAGCTGCGAGAGCGGGAAATCCGGGAGCGAGAAATCCGGGAAAGGGAGTTGAGAGAGAGGATGAAACCTGGCTTTGAGGTGAAGCCCCCAGAGCTAGATGCACTGCACCCGGCTACTAACCCCATGGAGCATTTTGCCAGGCATGGTGCACTGACTATTCCCCCAACAGCAGGACCTCACCCATTTGCTTCCTTCCATCCGGGTTTGAACCCCCTTGAAAGAGAGAGACTTGCACTGGCAGGCCCGCAGTTACGGCCTGAAATGAGCTACCCTGACAGACTGGCAGCAGAGAGAATACACGCTGAGCGGATGGCATCGCTGACGAACGACCCATTGGCACGGCTCCAGATGTTCAACGTCACGCCTCACCATCACCAACATTCACACATACACTCGCATTTACACCTACATCAGCAGGATCCCTTACATCAAGGTGAGCCCAGGGAAGCGGGCTAGCAGTTTCCTAGGGAGCCTCTCTCCTGAGCTGCTAGCAGCAGTCTACCCAAACCAGGCAGGCTGTGACTCTCCAATTCAAGGAGCAAAATCCCTGTTTTCTTGTATATTATGTGACTTCTGTACTGTATAAGGTTGTGATAACTGAAATGCAAACGATTTATTTTTTGGGAGGGTGGACCAATAACAGTGATAAGTAAATGATGGTAACGGTACAGTGATCCTCATTGAGACTGCGTGCTGTCACTGTAAAAGGTTTGCTGTTCTGTTGTGTTTCTTAATTTTTTTAAGTACTGGAGTCCTAGAGCACCACCTTACAGTGGTGTCTGGTGTACAGGTGGAGACTCCATCGGGTGAAGGGAATTCACTAGGAGAGATATCATGGAACTGCTAACACTGCTAATGCTAATGGCTGTTATGAGTTATAGCTGGAAAGGAGCTGAAGCTGGTGTTTCCATATAGGAGCTGAGAAAAAAAAAATTAGGAGAGAAAGACTTCCATCTCTTTAGCCATTTGACATGCCAACCATCTGGCTTTAGTTGAGCTGAAATTCTCTGTCACAATTCTCATATGAACCATCTAAATTTATGGGTTGGCATCTTCCTAGCTACAGTATATTCTTATGTGTGGAAATTTTTTTCCCCCAAGTATTTAATAGTCTCAAAAATGAATTGATGCCTTGCTCATTTCTGAAGCAAACTACGTGGTTACTTCTCTAGAAGTCTGGAGTCTGTAACCTGGAGTCTGGAAGATGAGGCACTAAGCAGAATTTTTCTGATTTCCTGGTGGCAGACGGGAGAGCACATAGCGAGCAAGGCACCAGGTGCAGTAGCTGCTAAGTAAGGGGGGGAAAAAAAGTCCAAGTACTTAAAAGTGCAGCTTCTGGTGCAGCTGGCTACAAATGTAGTGTTTGTGCAAGCAGATATAGCATACTTCGCCTTGGAGCAGTACGTATTAAACGTAGCTGGGATGTCTGCTTTTTGGAGTTTGGAAGGAATGGAGTGCTGTTGCAGAAGCCAAGTTGTATGGCAAGGAAATCAGCAGGGTCTTGTGAGGTTGTTAAGGGGCGGGGGTTGCAGGTAGGAGATGATAGTGCTGAATATCGGCATTCTTAAAGCCATCAGCTGCAGACTTCAGACTGACTGCACAAATTACAAACTGGTTCAATTTGAGGCAGGTTTGCGTACCCCATTGATAGCAGAAGAAATTTGTCATAGATCGTGTCTATGCAAGGATTCTGTCATCAGGTAAGTCACCACCTCTGTGCAGGTAAGTCTAGATACTCCCCAGTTACTTGTTGTGGACAAAAATATGGCTAGTGCATTCTCATTCTCAGTCTAGCGAGAGACTGGTGCAGACAAAGCCAAGTCAATTCCGTGTCAAGTCTCTCCTACCTGTATTCGAAAAGTAATTTGGCTTTAATCTTGGATGCCAGGTTAAAATGCAGTTAGGGGCTCTTGAGTGTCTCCAAGTAGTTCTTGCTCTGGAGTAGCTCCATAGGTGGGTAAGGCCCTAAAGTGCATAAGCTGTATGTCTCCTTAGGGGGGGATGAATAGAGGGTAAAATGACCGCGCATTTGTGCTCTGGACCAGATAACAGCTGAGGGAGAACTGTGTTAGCCGTGGTGTGTTCCTTTCACTTGCGATTCCTCTGCAATCGGCTAACAACTTAACCTGCTGAGATTTCAGATGAGCTGATGAGTAAATATTTTTCAGGTTTTGCTGGTGTCTTTTTTTCATCATATTGGTAAAGTGACATCAGAGAGGTTGTCTACAGGTGTCCTTCTCCACACAAGGGTGGTGACAATGTCAGCTTTTGCAAACAGAGGGTTTTGCCAGCTTTTAGCCCATCAAGTAGTATTGGTAAAGTCAGAAGGATGCTTAAGTGCTTCTGTACTAAATGTCACTAGTGATCCTTCAATTTTATGTGTGTAAAGGGGAAATAGGAGAGAGTTTGGGGGGAAATTTTTCTGAATATTGGCCATCTTTGTTGTGAAGAGATCAGAGTTCTCTTCAGAAAGAGAGGCCCAGTGTCAGAGACCGATAGCTAAAGAAAAACACAGCGTTTCCCTGTTACAGTGCTGCAATAAAGCATTCCACCGTTCTCTCTGATGGTTTTAGTTTTTCTCAGTGTAGTTACCGGAGCTGAGCATGTTCCTTCCTCAGGTTACTTGTGGGAGCAGATCTGTAATTCAGGTCACTTGCACTGATAGGTGGAAACGGGATCGCTTATTTCCAAGGAATTTCCAGAAAAATCAACTGAAGCAATTGAGTTTGTAGCGATATGTTTGAGGTAACTTGTACAAGCCAAGAACAGGAGATTCTTAGGAGAGCAGAGAGTAGTAAAGTTTGGCCCAGAGATCCATGGATTAAGAGGTGGCCTCACATATAGCAGCACTACAGAGCTGAAAATAAAGCTGATCTGGATTTGCCCAACTGCTTATGGTTTTGGCTGGGTTTTTATCATTTTGTGTCTTTTCTGTTTGTTGGGATAATAGTGGCCTGTTCCCCAGGCTGCCCATTGTGCAGGCATACCAACAAGCAGTGGTAGGTAGAGGTGGGAACAAGTGGCTGGGAGGTAAAGACTGAAGAGCAGATTGCTTTTTTCAGAGTCTACTTAGGGTGTTTGACTAGGTGTTTGCGCTCTGAACGCATGGTGAAAAACGTAGTTATGATAAGCAGTTAAAAAAAAAGAAAGATCTGTACAGGGGAGAGATCTTGCAAGGCTAAGTAAAGGTAAGAGCAGACCTGTGCAGCAGGATTTCTTTTTTTTTAAGTCTCCAGTTATTGAACAGATTTCACAGCAACATCTCATTTTGCCTATGTTAGGCTGAGCAGCTCTGATTAGCAAGCACTGCTGCAGTGTTTATGGGAGGAGTGTGGAAGGAACAACGGAAAATGAAAGCTTAGGTGGTTTATTTACTTGATTTTTAAAATTTTTTTTTCCCTACTGCTTGGTGGATTTCTTTTTCTTGTAGAAATTGACAGCCCTGGGTTGTTGCTTTACCAATTAAGACTGTTTGGTAAGCAGATGTCACTTGAAGATAGAAAAGTGGGTTTCAAATTGGATGGAGCTAAGCTTCTGGTAATTACATGCCAGTTAGGCCAAATGCTGATCCAGCTCAAGTCTAACAGGGCTTTTGATCTCCCAACAGTGAGCGATGCTTCCCAAAGCAGCTGATTGCTTGTTTTCTT